ATCAATCGAAAAAACGTAGCAATCTATCATCTAAAAGTACAGTAAAAAAAAAAAAAAAACAAATCCGATTAATGAAAATACAACACTGTCAGAGACGTTAAGTGATGAAAATAATGAATATAATAATAACCATACAACTAATAGCACGCTATCTGGAGATAGTAACGAATATGATAACGGTTATGTAGATAATATCGAATACGATAACGATTATGTAGATAATCACGAATATGATAACGATCATATAACCTAAGTAACTGGTGGTATGCCATCTAAAAATAATTCTGGCACAAGTAAATTATCCAAACCCAACCTTAAAGATCTTCAACTCATACCCATTAATAAGGTACCTGGCAAAAGTTGGATATGGGGTTATTATCAGTTGCATAAACCTGTGCAACTATATAAGCAGATAGTTAGTTGCTTGGTTGAAATTAATTAAGCAAATGGACCTTGGCTGTGTGGTCATTTAATGGGATCAGTGAACAGTTCCACTGGTAATTTTATTAGACATTTAGTGTCACGACATGCAATTACTGAAGAATCACACAAACGAAAACTTCAGCAAAATTCTAAACAACAAAACATTGATCAAGTGTTTTAGAAAATTGTAGCAAATGATCCTAAGCGAAAAACGGTTCGAGATCAAAAGTTTATTAGTATGTTAATTAAGGATCAATTGCCTATTAATATATGGGAAGGAACTGGTTTTATTGAGTTTTTAGCAGAGTTTGATCCTAATTATCGATTGCCTTGTGAAAGACATTGCTGAAAGTTATTCACAGATGCTTTTTTAAGTTCTAAGGAAAGTCTTAAAAAAATGCTTAATGATAATGTAATATCTTGTTCTTTGACTTGTGATCTGTAGATGAGATGTAACTGCATGGGGTACCTTGGAGTAACGTGCTCGTTTATCGATAATAATTTTCACTTGAAAGAATTGATTCTTACAATCAGATATCTACGCTATCCACATACTAGAGAGTTAATTACAAAAGAATTAAAGGCTATAATTGATGAGTGGGAACTAACGAGTAAAGTTTTTACTATCACAACTGATAGTGAAAGTAATATGGTTAAGGCTATTAAGTGTATGCAGAACATTATTCGAATTTTATGCACGGACTACTTAAATAGGCATTCAAAAAACACATGTATGGCTAGTTGTACTCTCTAATATAAATAGGATTCTGTTATAAGCTCTCTGCCTATTATACTTGAATAAAAACCCCTACGCCAAAGAGGCTAGTTAATAAAAAAAAAAAAAAGGTCGAAAGTCAGCAATGGTCGGACTTAATGAGAGAAATCATTATGATATATAATTACTACGCTAGATTATCTTTTGTTCAATATCTTCCTACCCATTACATTTTTATATATTTCAACTATTCTCAAATTAGTACGAAAAATAAATTGTGAACACTACGAATTCTGCATATTACCATTGTTAAAGCAATGGTAATGTGCAAGGTTCATTGGATTCACAAAACTAGGTATTGTGATGCAACCAAGTTTCAGAATTAAACTTTGGCTTGTGGAACATGTGAGATATGTAGTGTAACTCTATAATAGTC